CAGAGGAAGCCGAAGCCCTGAGGGGTTCTCGCGGTGTGGGCGCAGATGCGGAATGCCTGGCAGCGGCTCTCTACGTCAGCATAGTAGCCTGCAAAAAGCAACCGAAACCAATAAATCTAAGGCAATCCAGAGAGATTGCTGAAGATAGAACTTGCCTTCATGGCGACCCTTGCACACGAAACTCGTCTTGGGCGGTGCACTCAAGATGGGATAGTCCAGGCCGGGTTCGCCGGGTATTGTGTGCCGCAGATCGAACTGCTGGTCCGTGTACTCGCTGGACTTGTCCGCGTCCTCGAAGTGCTCTCCGCTCTGGCCCTGGGCCGCGGCCGCTGCCAGCAGCAGGAGGAGAAGCCCCGTCCAGAGACAGGAGCTCGGCATGCTGAAAGTGGAGCTTGGATTAGCCGGCGCTTGCGACACCTTAAATGTTATTCATTAGGCTGATTGATAAACCATGAATCGGGGCAAACTCATTGATTAAAATGTCTGTCCAATTTGCATACGAATGAGAGCGGGCCGGGGCCACGTAAGTGACCACCACGAGCCGCCGACTAATCTAATTAGCATACGGATTGGGTCGAGGCGTGTCCGCGCTCTCACGTAACCAAAACGAGCGACTCGCCGCCCCAAACAAATGCCTTTTCCAGCTGTGCAGCGACTTGTGTGTGGCACTGTTGCGTGGGTCCACCAACGGTACAAATTCGGCATCAAATGACACTTGGGCACGATAAATAAACTAAAACAATAAAAGGAATCACGATCTCTAAGAACTGACCCTGAAATTTGTGTAGATTTTCGTTCGATCTAGATGCTATGCCTCTCGGAATACTTTGAATATTTATGATCGATTTGGCATCACTTTCGATCTCCCTCGAGATAATGCTGGGCAAGCGATTTGGAGTCGGTTTTGGCTTTGAGGTGCGAGTGTTGGTCATTTCACTCTGGTAATCCAGCAGCTCCATCAATCAACTGGATGAGCAAGCATTATCAATCACACTCGGCCCGGCATTAGAATGTGACTAATTTCGAATTACCAAACTCTAATCAAAACTGAGCACCCAAACAAATATTTGAATCGCTTCCAGTTAAGCATTTGAGCAATAAATTATCAATGGGTTGCTTGGCATCGGACAGCCGCTGAGGTCATTTGATGCCATTACGTTTTGCCCCAATGTGAAATGTGCTGACAGCTGATGCAGATACAGCAACAGATACAGATAAGTACTCCACATATCTAGGGATATTGAAGCCTGCTCAAACGAAAGACTTGGACAACGAACTTTGGCAAGCGAGCGCACTTGCTCTTCAGTTGTTTTTACCCTGAAATATTACCATTAAGTATGTGCCTGTATGGCTGTGTAAGGAAGCAACAAATCACTTGAGCAGCCACTCAATGATTGATTTGGCTATGCCCCATGCCATGCCATAAAGTGCAGAAGGCAATCAATGGAGAGCGAAAACCAAAGCGAAAAAACTCTTCAGGTTTTAGAGAGCGAACCAAAGTTGGACCTTTGTGTTCGACTGACACACAAGTCGGCACTTAATTGTCTATCAATTTGAATTGATAACTCAATCGAACGATTGCGTTTACATAACGTCCAAGATGAATGATGTAACAATTAGAAAATCATAATTATGGCTTGGATAATTGCAGGCTGGTGGTGGTCGGTGGACAGTCAATGACCTTCCCGCGAGTCAACAAACTGTAAGCTCTTCAGTTCTCAAATATGGCATCATAATGACTATCTAAGCGACATCTAATTGAATTTTAATGATCCACAGACAGAAGCCAGAAGAAGCGCGGAACGCAGTTCGCCACTGAGCGACTCCTCCAATATGCAAATATCGAATGCATTTGGGGCAGGGACTTGGGTAAGTGCTGCACTCATCTTTGGACAGCCCAGAGCTGCTTCCACTTCCACTTTCAAATTACAAAAACCATTTACAATTCGACAGCTTCAGGGTCATTATCAAGAGCAACGCAAAACAGAAAATCAAAACCGAAAACCAAAAACCAAAAACCAAAAAGCCCAAACCCGAAAAACAACAGACAGCCACCGACAACGAGGAAGCATCGTCAGAAAATGTTTTACTTCTCATTGTTTTCAATGATCCATCAAAGAAAAAATTAAAAACTGCCAGACAAATGATGAGCACAAGATGATGAGGAGCCACACTTCGCAGTAGGGAAGGAAAACTTTAGATAACAGACTTTGCATTGAAAAGCAAAAGACCACAAAAAAACAACAGAAAAAGAGAATGGATAAACATAAACATAAAACTCATCAGAGGCATTTTCAATGAGATGGAATATACATACATTTTCGCTGTAATTCAAGTGCGTGGATCATTATATTTATATTTATATTTTATTATGATCTGCGACTGAGATTTGAGCTGCTGCTGCTGCGGCTGCGGCTGCAAATTAATTGGCAGCACGTTTTGTGGTGCCGAACCGTAAATCTTTGCCAGATATCACGAGAATGGGTTACCCCCGCTAGTCGGATATTTAATTATAGCAAATCGCTGGCTATTTGGCACCGACAAGCCCCTGACTCTCGAGTGTCATCCAGCTGAATGGATGGCTGGAATCGCAATGGAATGGAAATAGGTAGAAGGATCTGCTGACCCCCACCGCGACTGCTCTGTCACTCACTCATCTGAAGTGCCCGCATCTATGGAATTGGAATTCGGTCTGAGTCTGTGTCTGAGTGTGAGTCTGAGTCTCTGGGTTCTACTTATGGTCAGATGACGCAAACGGAGTGCGTAACACGAGCTCAGAGTGAGCCACTTCAAATAGCTTCAAGTGCTCAATGTTCTGGGGAGATCCGTGAACTCTTCCATTCTTAGATCCGCTTAGATATTCCGTTTGGAGGAGGGCTTTTGCTATTTACTGTGTAAACATATCAGTTGCTGATTTACAATATTTATTCCCATCTCAAGATGTTTCAACTTTAAAGTGTGTTGCGGAAATGTTTGCCAAATTGGCTGTTCAATTTAATCTTCTCAGATTTCTGTTTCTAATACTCCCAGTCAATAATCCCAGGGAGCTAGGTAACTCAGAACTGCATTCTGTATTCCCAGAAGACTAGCCAAATTACTCATCCCTAAATCATTCAAATCCCATAACTAATTACTAAAATTAATCACATACTCTTTGCCATATTTTAGCGCTCTAATCTTCCTATAATTATCTCCGTATATAGCTCTATTTGTTGTTCTAAAAATCTACCAAATCACTCCCACTTGAGCGGAGTGGAGTGCATCATCTGCTCGTAGGATTGTGTGGGGGTGTCGGCATGTAATTTGGTTTTGATTAATCGTTTGATCGTTCGTTTGATGATTATTCGGGGTACGGTACACACCATGGAGTCACATTTTTACCTTGATTATTTCCGAGTAAACGTTTCCAAAGGGACAAACTTTATATATTATTCGCAATTTGGCACAGCTATGGGGTGATTTCGTTTATTTGAGGCACAGAAATATAACTTTTAGTGTATGAAACTTCACAAAACACAAAACTGAAGTCAGGCTAAAGCATTATCCTGTTGGTCGATTGGGACTATGTCCTTTACTCGAAGTGGTTTGGGGCCTAAGGAGCCGGCTACTGAGCGGTGCGGAGCCAGGTTAAACTGAACCGTTCGAGGCGCGATCTTGAACTGAACCCAAACATTCAAACATAATCGAAATATTTTGGCCACAAAAGAGTTCGAAGAGTGGCAGTGGCAGTGGCAGACCCAGGCCCAGACCCAGACATTCAGACTCGGCCAGTCAGTGTCAGATACCCCGAAATACACGCTGAAGAAGATACACAGATACAAACGCAGAGACCCGATCCGATCCGATCCGATCCGATCGATTGCGTATGATGTTGCTGCGGTACCAACCGGGAAACCGGTGACAACCTGCTGTTGCGGCCAATGATGATGATGATGATGATGATGATGATGATGCTGCTGTGGCCAGCCTACATAACAGTAACAGTTGGAATTTATAAAAAATACTCAACAAAAACAACAAAAGAAAGGCACCAACCCACTGTCAACTGTCTTGCTTAGGGGCGTGTGTGTGAATGGAAAATGAAAGCACAGTAAACACCCGACAGAAGGGCAGATTTAGGGCTAAGTCTGCTGTGAGAAAGAGCTTCTATGTGGGAAAAGATTGGAGTGTCATCCCTTTATGAAAAAAGATATACATAGAAGTGGCAGTAGTCCGCCTTTAAAGTGTTTTCACTGTACCCAAAATTGTCTTTCGTTTTCATTTAATTTCGGTTTCGGTTTCGGGTTCAGTTTGGATTTTCACACGGCTAAAGTGGCAGAAAAATGCGGCAGATCGGGTTCAAGCTCCCCCTAGATTCCTGTCATATGAATGCCGCATAATTTATTGGGTAATCTTGGCAGTGGCTAAGAACTGGCGGGAGCAGGGGGTGCTTTGACTTCCGCATTTAGAGCCAAGTCCAAGTTTGAGTATCGTGTGACCCAAATCTAAAATTTTAATTAAACAAAAGCTCGATCAATTAACATTAAGCGCTGCGCTTAGCAGCTGCACTTGAAGCGCTTCTTGGCGTCTTGGCCAAATGATTGATGGATGGAGGCAGCGCTGGCGTTGTCATGTGAGCGTGGATCATCGGATCCATGCAGATCCACGCATATCAAATGTGCTGCTGTGCCTTCTACAAATTGGATTTTGAGCGCCATCCAACAAGCGGACAAGCGGACAAGCGGACGGACATGCTGAAAAATTGTTCGCTGCGGCATCTGCCCCTGATCCGCTTTAGTTTGCATTCTTTTTTTTCTGCGCTAAACGTGTCGAACAAGTGGCCAAATATTTGCCATGGCTGCTACTCGACCGTGTTTACAAGCCCAACCGATTCGGGCCTGGCCAGCAACAACTGTGGCAACAGCGGAATGGGGTCAGGCCAGCTTTCAGTGGCAGTGCCACTGCCACAAGCCTATATAAAAGTGCAACGCGAATGATTGCATCACCAGTTGATTGCGAGCAGAAATGATTCCCTGGACACTTGTTGCACTTGCGGCGGCTCTCAGTGCTGCCCTGCTGCTGGCGCAGCCCTCTTGCGCCAGTCCCCTGGAGGACGACAACGAGGACAGACCCCACATTAACTACCCAGCGCTCTTCAAGGCGTTCTTCGACGTGGGCGAGGCCATCTTTGGTACCTGGGCCCCCGAGCGCTTTAAGGAGCAGCTGAACATGCAACGAGACTCGTATTATAGATAGGCGAGACGCCTCTATCGGGTTTCCCTTTCTTTCTGTATCGTACAGATGTTGCATAAGTGTCGCATGCTGCATCAATAAATACAACCATAAACAGAAAGAGAAGGTGTGGGGGCTAGAGACAAGATTTTAATTTATGCACATCTCCCTTTTGGCCAAATCACCCATCATTACCACCACATTTGCTATTGGCTCACACCCTCGTAAAGGGCATGGCTGATTTTTCTAGATATTTGTCAAATGTTTATTCAATTTCACTCTCTCTTAAGTGAAGAATCAAACAGAGTTATGACTGTCTTTCAGTGTATAAATAGACAAGAGACAAATGAATATTTAAATGAATGGTTGCGAAGTCCAAAGCTTCTTAACATTTGAGGAAAGAAGATCAAAAGATCTCACCACAAGAGTATTTGGCTACTCGGTGTCAGTCAGTTCTTTGCATACGAATGGGCTTAAATTTTAGTTTTTTTTGTTGCCCGTTGCCCTGTCTGTTATCTACGAACATGACACTTCATATGTTTCTTTCATTGGCAAATTAGTTATTTCTTGACAAATCCGACGAGGCAAAGACAAAAAGTTATAAATCGATAGCTAAAGTAGAAGCCTGCCTGCCATTCGGCATTGTCGGGCATCGATCAATTTGACTAATCATATTTATAGATTCCCATTCACATTCACATTCGCAGTTCGCAGTCCCGTATCCCCATTTGATCTTGTGCAAAACAACTGCTACGAGAATAATCATCATTATGCAAGTCGAAGATTCGAAAAGCCAATAAGCAGTCAGGCACTTGTCCGGGCAAAGCAGTTGATTGAATCAATGGATGATAAACGTATAGGAGGGGGTGCTGCTGGCGGGGGAGACAATCGAAATAATCATCTAGCCAAATTCTTTCAATTATTTTGGCATAATAAATGAAGCAAGCAATTTGTCTGGGGCTCGCTCCCAAGTGTTTCCTTTGTGTCGCTCGCTCGATCAAGTGTTTTTCCTCCATAAATGAAGTAATCCAATTGTTTTAGCCATTCATCATGCTCCACTATACCACACAATCTATCATCAGTGTTTTTTGTTTATATTATAAATATGAAGTCTATTCAGATTTTGGCTATTTCACCTGCGGCACATGCGGGCTCTGCCCCTCCGCGTTCGTAGAAGCGCCAAATATCGACAATATTTACTTCCTGCACGTGTCGCAGTATAAATTATCGAGTCGCCGCGTATCATCATTCGGGCTTTGGCCTTAATTGTCGGCTATCGTGCATGTCAAGAAAAGATGTGCCAGCAAACTATTATTAAAACTAAATTTGCCAACTCAGGGCCCAAAGAACGTGATATATATTTCTGTGAGGTCTCTGACTGGGGAAACGCTTACTCACGTGCCAACTAACACTAGAATTTCCCCCTAATCCGACTTTAATTGAATGCAAATCCTTTGACACAAGCTTAGAGGAAGAGTACAATCATATCCATCTAAGTATTCATTCAACCATCTGTTCATACATCCATCAGTGATGATCAAACCGAGTCTTTAATTTGATTACGAGTTGGGGAACATCTTCATATATCGACTATATAAATGTTCGATTCATGGGTGCACGCAACGGAACAGTGGAACAGTGGAGCGGTAATCATCATTAGTTGCTTTCAATCATTTGTTTCCCGCTTAAACACTGAGCTTAACATACAAATTAGCCAACAAACTCCCACAGCGGCAAATAGGCAGCGCCATGCTGAATGCTCAAAGACGGATGGGCGTCTGCTTCTAAATGCATGTTAAACATCACATTACTCAAAATGTTTGTGGAGAGTATTCAAATAAATCAAAATTAACACACTCCGAGATACTCCACCTGGAAATGTTATAATCAAGCTGAAGAAATGCCGGGTTTCACTTTCATTCGACAGCGAAATTCCCCCCCATGAAATTCCCCAATTTATACACATATAAATGTGTTGAAAATTATGTAAGTAAATGCTTGATTAGGTGTAGGCAAATGCCTAATTTCTAAATCAAATTACTTTCATTGATTCGCTTAATTGCCAGAGCCCAAAATATCTCTGTGAACCAGGCGGAGTTCCATTTCCGTAGCCGCCAGAAAATTCCAAAAAAATCAAAGTCGAAATTTAAATCGAACGCCTATTACATCACATCAACATGCCCGCTCGGGTATATGCAGATTCGTAGATGCCGGGGCACCGGCGTCCGACAAACACATGTTAATTTCAACTCATTTTTGGTGGGTCATCTTCCCCTTTGGGGACCCCATATCCCATTCCCTTCCATTTCTTTCCACGCTGCTCATATTATTGATTTCTTTTGGCAAGCGAGATTTCATAATCACACGGCGATGCTGCTGCTGCTGCTACCACTACCGATGCCGGATTATTATCAGCGCCATAAATTAATCAGAGGCACAGAGCATGGCGCAGCACAGGTCGCGCATCATCTCGAATCTCCCTTCCCGCAAGAAAAGCATATGCAAATGGTAATGGCAATGGGATTGGGAATGGGCCTGGACCGAAACCCTTTGATTTTACCGGGCAGGGAGCTGAACTTGTGGCAACTTGAGGCAGGTTGTGTGCAAGCGAGGCATTAATTTAATTTTATGTATTTATTATGCATTTTGTGTTTTTCTTTTTGTTTTAATCGCACGATTGCCTCAAACTAGCCGAGATGCCAGCGGAGAAAGTGGGAAGTAGCCTGCAGACGCACCCAACCCAACCCAACCCAACCCAACCCACAACCCACAACGCGCGCACTTTAATTAAGTATCTCCCAATGCAGAATTCACTTCCCCACTCCATTAAATTTTCCGCCATTTACCCAAATTTTGCATAAGCATCTGTCAGCGATTAGTCAGAGCTCCAGCTGTCGGCGTATTATAATCTGATTTGATTTGGGTATTTAAATCGTTTACAGCCTTTGATTCGGGATTGCGAAATGGTCTTCTGTTTTTTGCCAAATTAACAAACGTTTATAAATATATTTCACATGTCTATGCTCTCGCCATCACTTTGGTTGTGAATTTAGAAAATACACGTATATTTGTCACTAATTTTTATGAGTTTTTACATAAGATGCCCATTTGGGTTTTCTGGCGACGCTGTTTTGGCATATTATACCACCTATTCCAACAAATAGTTTCAGCGTAGGGCCCTACAGGGCAGGGCTGAAACGAGCCTGGGGCGGGGCCCATAAATTTCTTCTTTTCGGTGCCTATAATCACATAAATCTAAGTTTTGATTTGGACGATGATTAATGTCAAATTTGTGGGTCCCATGCGAGCTTCGGCTGCCATCGAATGTCAGTCAGAGAGAACGCCTTATTCGAATATCTGTGAGTGTTAATAAGTTGTGGCCTACCTAAAGCGAGTATTCAATCGAGAATATATTTCCCCGTTGCACCATCAAACAGCGTGTTCCACCTTTATTTCAATGTTTATTAAAGAAATTACATTTACATAGTTTCATTGTTGTTTGTATGATATAACATGGTTGTATGTAGAAGTACGCTCACGTTACAAATATTAAGACAAGACTAACACTTTGCTCTGTCGGAGTGTTTTGCAGGGAAGGGGAAAGGCTTAAGACTAATAAATGTGTGTTATCTTCTCTCCATATTCGCATGCGATTACTTTATTTGGTGTTAATGAACAGATCTATGCTCGTTGTTGTTAGTGTTAAATACACCGCACTTTAAAGTTAATAATTCTAATCGAATTTGTGAAGAATTTGCAAAGCGGATTCCACCATTCCAATGATATTCGTCATGTGTGATGTTTCCTTTCTATTTGCAAAGTCTTCCAACAAATGGAACAATTTGTGTGTAGTGTGTGTGTTTTATTACTGGAGAAGCACAATGTCTCTTGCTGGTCCAATAGTGTGTGCTGATCGTTTATCTATACATTTAATACTGGGTTCGACGCTACCTTTCACACGGTTACAGTTCGCTAACGCGGTTGCTTAGACAAAATACATTTTACATAATGCAACTTAACGCTTAATAATCCGGTGCTGCTGTTTACGTTACAAGGATACGGGACAGGGACATAGTATTTAAAACTGTGGTTATCAGAAATTCCATCAATGTATGTATGTGGTGGGGCGTTTGTATAAAGAGAAGATATGGTATAGCTATTTAAAAACGAATACAAAGATGAACAAAGAATAATGGGGGACAAAAACATATAAGAGGCTAACACAAACACTATTCGTTATTCATAAAGATGTTCAGCTTTTGGCTCTCGCACACTTACACTGGCAGTTGCTGCGAAAACTGAACATTTACAAAAATGGCCATTTAAACATTTAGAATTATAATTATAACGATTATGTAAATTGTATTTTATTTGATAAGATTGAACGCAAGCGTCCATCCTGTCCATCTCATGCGCTGCCAGCCACAAATTCCAGCAATCTAACATTCAAGTTGCGAAATCGACTTGGCATTTGGCAAGTCGAATTGTTTGCCTGAAATTTGTTAACATTGTTGACATCATGCATGGGGGATGTGACGCTCCATTTATCGATGCTTAGAACTATTACTTAACTATGATATATATTAATGTATAATAGATTCATTATTCGACGAGTTTCATCAAGCATATGTGACCACAAGCGGTACGTAGATGGTGTGCTTCGAAAAATAAATCAAAACTTCTCTATCCCATTTCCGCGGGAAATCTCTGGCACTCTCCACGGAAATCCTCCAACAGTTTTCTCATTTTGAAGTTATTTTTGAAAGCGTCTGCCGCATGCAGCGAACGGATACTCGGGTATCTATAATCCGTTGTTCATCAATTCAATTCAAGTGGTAAAGTGGGCTTCAACATCAGCTTTAATCTTAAGTTTACATACTGTAGGCACGTGCATGTGCGTACAGTACTTAGTAGGGGGTTGGGTCTCTCTAAGGCTAGTTATTGTTCAATTCTCAACTCGGAGGATAGACGATTGGGCACGACTATCCGTTCTGGGCTGCTCAGTGTTTCTGTTCGTTACATTTCGTTACATTCAGTTCTTTGCTTCGTTCATCAATTCTCAACAACAAATAAATAAAATAATAACACCAGTTGGCTTGCACAAGTTGCACATAAATAAATAAATAGGTATTAACTAATAATTTGCTATTTCAGAAGGTTGGCTTTCTTTTGCATTGTTTCTCGTTTTCCTCGTTTTTCTTTTTCCTTTTTTTTTGTGTTTTTTTGAATTTGCACACAGCTTGGTTTTTGGATTTTAGGTTTGCTTTGTGGACGGGTATTTCTTTTCGTTTTTGTTTTGCTTCTCTCCTTGCAAATGTGCAGCAACAACAAAAATTGCAGTTAAAAATGAATTTCAATTGATTAGATTTACTTCTTGGCATTGTTGAGGCCCAGTTCGCTGAGGATTTTTAAGGCATTGCGCGCAGCGTCGTTCTGCGACTCGTCGGAGCTCTTGCCAACGCCATGGCAGATCTGCGGCGGGTTCGTTGAGAGTGTCACAATGGTGAGGAACTCGTTGTGGTTTCCCTTGGGATAGTCCGAGAAGTTCACCTGCATAATGATTGAGTTAATACTTGTCCTACGTTTGTCCCTACGTTGGGTTATTCATACCTCAAATTCAAACAATTTGCTTAGGTACAGGAGCTGCTCCTTCATGTGTACGGCTGCGGCTGCACTGCTGCTGGCAGCGGCATTGCTGCTATTGCTGCTCACGCCACTCGTGTTGCTGCCCGTCGATGTATTCAGCGTACTCTCTGGGGCTGTCTCCATGGGCTGCGGCTCGCTGCTGTTGTCATCCGTCGTTGTGGTCGATGTCTCCTTGTTGGCGTCCTCCTCCTCCTTGGCTTCTTCGCTGTCCTTGACAATAATCATGGGATCTACCTTCCGTTTAGGCGCTGTTGGACAAGGAAAAGTGTCTAGAATCTATGCTTCCAGCGGTAATAAAAGATTGCACACTCACGTCTCTTGTGCTGGCGCAGAATGAGGATGCCAGGCATGGGACCCACTGGCGTTGAGACCATGGGAATATCCGGGTCTACAGTGCTTTCGATTACTGGTGCTGATGTCGCTGTGGCAGTTGCTACTTCAGTTGCATTGCCATCCGTGGAATCCTGAGACTCCTGGACTCCTCCGCTCCTGTGCTCATCCGATTCCAGTAATTCCAACAGGGCTGCAAACAGAGACATTCAAGTAATTCGATTGATGGTGAAAAGAGAAAACTATGAACTTACCCTGCGCTGCACTGCGCTTGGCCAGCTTCTTGCTGCTGCCCGTACCTCGGGCTGTGGTTCCGTTGGCCGACACCTCCATAACGAACTCTCGCCGCCTGGAGGCTTCGTTGCCATTCTTGGCTATCAGTTCGAAAATGGGCTCCTTCTCCTTGCGCGTCTGCTGCAGCTGGATGAGCTTCGTTATGGGATTCTCGGCATCGTCCAGCTCCACAGGTCTGATGGCGACATTGAGGCGCTTTCGCCGTTCAGGCTTTGCCATGGATACCACATCCGATATCGAAAGCGTTGTGCCTGATCCATTTTTGCCTGGAGTTTTCACCTTGATGCGCCGGACTGGTGTCTGCTTGGTGGGCGTGAGGGGCGGCAGCTTCTGCAGTTCTGTGAGCATCTTCTCGGCCGACCGCTTCTTCGACACCTTCTTGCCGTTGCCCTCGCCCTCGGTGACAATGCTGCCGACGACGCAGGCCGTGATGAAGTTCTTCATGTGGGCAGGCCCATCCTCGCGCAGCACTTTGAAGTGCACAGTCATGTTGCGCTTGATGCCGATCTCATGCACCTGGGAGATTGGCGACTTTTTGTCGCCCTCATCCATGGAGTCGTCGAGTGCCTCCTCTGACGCCGAGCTGGCCTGCGTCTTGAGCACCTGAAGAGCCCTGGCCGCTGCATCGTGCTTGGCCTGCTGCAGCGTGCGCCCGATGCCCACGAACTTCTGCTTTCCCACGTACAGGGTGATCTTGCTGGGCGTCGGCGGAATCGGAGCGTAGGGCATGTTGGGCCCGTGGATCATGTGCGGGCCTAGAGGCGGCACCATCGTATATCTGGATGCATATTTAGGGCCATAGGCCCGCTGGGGCCCGCCATAAAAGCCATGTGGATGCATGGGCGGGGATTGAATGGGCACAAAACTGTGTCCATGTCGTGCAGGACGCAGCGCAAAGGGAGGCGGAAGGGGCTGAGGCATAGGCTGGGGCATTCCTGGCGGCGGTGTGGGCAGCAGGGAGCCGCCTCCGTACTCCGACGACAGCAGCGGGTCGATGGGCTGCATCTGTGTGGGGTCCAGCAGGTAGTAGGTGCGCTGTCCCAGCTTCATGGCCAGCGCATTCAGCTCCACGGTGGGTGTGATGTGGGTGCGTGTGGTGCTGGCTTCCTCGCTGCGGCGTATCTTCGGTGGTGGGTGCTTGTACTTGGTCTCCTCGATGGCCCTGGAGGCGGCCATGTGCTGGGCCTTCTTTATCTTGAACCCGTCCGCCGAGTACTCCTCGTCGCCCAGCTTCAAGGTTACCGTGAAGGTCTTGCAATGGGCCGGTCCCCGCTCTCCCGTCAGCCGGTACTGGTGCGTGATCTTGTTGTACCTGGCCAGCTCGTTGACCAGGCACATGGGCGTCTTGTCCTTGCCACTGCGTCCCGAGCTGCCGTCCTCGTTGGACAGCGTGCCCGCAGCATCGATATGCTCTATGCTGCTGCCTTCATTTACTGCTGTCGCCGCCGTCTCCGTTGTGATTGGCTCCAGATCCGATTGTGGCAACTCCTGTAGACCTGTGGGTTCCGTGGCTACCGGCAGGTTGCTGCTGCTCACACACTCTGGATGCTCCGCTGCTGCTGCAGATGGTGCTGAGGTGGCTGATACTGCCACAGCCTCCGGGACCATGGCTGGGGCCAGGACTGGCCCGACTTTGGCACTTCGATATGTTGCCTGGAGGATGGCCTTGGAGCCATAACCGTTGCTGGTGCCGCTATTGGCGATGTAGTGGCCGCCAGGGTTGTTGTTGTTGTTGTTGTTGTACTTGGAGGGCGGCTTGGGCTGGCTCATTTGGTAGTAGTGTGGCGGGTGGGCTGCATAGCCGCCGATGTGGGCGGCCATGTGGTGCGGCGGCGGTGGAGGCGGCAGCGGATTATACGAGAGAGCTGCCGGATTGCCCGCCAGAGGGTTGTAGGCCTGCGGCGGAGGCTGCTGGCATTTACCCACGTGTCCGTTGCTGCTGCTGAGATGCTGATGCTGCTGTCGAATCTTTTGCATTTGATTGTTGTTGTTGTTGCTGCTGCTGTTGCTGCTGATGTTGCTGTTGTGATGATAGGCAGGTCCAGCCGCCACGGCAACGGCGGTAGGGTTCGACGGCGTCTGCTGCTGCTGCTGCTGCTGTGCGTGCAGATGGTGATGGTTCAGGCTGCGAACGAGAGAGAAAGTGCAGCTCGGTTAATCGATCGGATGGAAGGAAGGAGGGAAGCTGGCCATGGAGCCCTGGAGGGCATGGAGCGCGATGGCTTTGCGGTTAAGTCAGCAAACAATGCTTGGCAAAAGGATTAGAGAGGCAATGAGGAATGCTGATGGACAAAAGTACATCAACTGACATCTGGGAAAAACAAAAACACCAACACGCAGGCCGACCCAACGTCCTTTTCTGATCGCTGCCTCCGCACCCCAGTTCAACCCCTGCCCCTTTTCCACTGTTGTTGCTGTTGCTGATGCTGCTACAGAGGACAACAGACAACAGCGGTGAGGCAGAACAATGGACAAAATCCTAACAAAGCACAAAAGCCGCATTCTCTTACGCATCGTGTCATTTTTCGCCAACTGTCAGTTTCAATTGAGACGCACCTACCGCGACACCCTGACATCCTTTCGCAATTGGGCATTTGAGGGGCCACCAGGGACGGCCTTGCCTCACTCTCACTCTCGCTCTCAGTCTCAGCATCACAAATCAGAGACCTAACTGCCACCACACATACAGACACAGACACTATGCCGATCAGTTTCACAAGACACGTACAAATTTCGGCAATTTTTAATCGCCAAATCAGTTGGGAGAGAAAAAAGCCTTCAAATTAACATTGATATGGACAATTAGAGATAGAAATCAGCTACGCCGGGATGCAGAAGATGACCCTTAGATAGGATTCATCTGGAATCTTTTTGAGTCACTCACAAATTAATTCGAATCTTTAAAATGTATTCCATAAACCGTTTACAGAATCGAAACCACAACCAACTGTTGAATTGGACTATGCATTTTTCCTTAAACGAAATTTCCACTGAACAGCGCTCTTTTCTATTGCTTAAACATCTCTTGTTTTCACCTCTTACTCGAAATGGACTTGCGTATTTCATGACGTACTGAAATGTACGCTAAGAACTGTGACCACTAACGCGTTGTTTTCCGTAAATTCATGAGCGATCCGAGTGCCAGGCAAAACGCAACTAAAGGCAGGCCGAAGAAAAGTTCATTGGAAGTTGAGGCAAAACATATGATTGCAAAAGAATAGAGAGACGAAGGGAGACCAGAAAGCGATCCAAGAAATCCGAACGATCCTCACGAACGTCAAGGATAATTGCAGCCCAGTCGTTGCTATTGCTGCTGCTGCTGCTCCTGCTCATGATCAAACCCGTTATCAAGCGGAAGTCATGCTGAGCGCGAAAGAACAAAGAGCCACTGAAATTATAATTTATGAGTTGAGAAAATGGGATGATGAGTCTCACACCGATTGTCAGTGACAGGAATTAACATAATTGCCGCATCGCATAAAGCCTAGACACGCTGGTAAGGCAAGGCAAGGCTAGCAGCCACGATGCTGGGGCCAATCAAGGGTTGGGTCTCGTCTCAGATAGTGCCAACTTGAACTCTAGCTGGGTATATTCTTCTATTCCTGCCTAGGTTTACCGTGGATGATGATGATCGCGGTGTGGAGTCGGCTGCTGTTGTGGCTGCATCTGGGGAGCACCGGCCATTGATGCCGCGGCGGCCAGATGCTGCTCCAAGCTGGGATGCATCTGCATGTGAGTGTGGCCGTGCGTGTGGTGATGTGCGCGTATGTGGGGCGCTGGTCTGGCCGCGTGCACATTGTGCTGCATGTTGGGGCTGGGCTTCTTTCGACTCCTCGGAGAGCGATTCTAGCGGGATGAGCGAGTGCAGCTGCAATAGAGGTAACATTTTCCATAAGATACACACACAGAGGCAGAGACAAAGCAATGTTTTCATAGGGGAGAGAGGTGTCTCTTTGTTTGGCAATTGTGCAGACTTTCAGCAAGAATGAAAAACAACGTGCAGCCATTAGCTGCATCGACACTGCATGCATGCAAATGCAGCTACATCCACGGCACCAACGACGATGCGCCTAAATCAAATTGTGACAGGCTACAGCTAGGGCCATGGGTCGGGCTAGGGGTGGAGATAGTGGTAGCGGCAGTGGTTGAGGCGCTGTCAAGCAACCACCTTTTCTTAAGCATAAGAACATTCATAGCTGCCCGCCTGCCTGCCATGCCCTGCCCATTGATCGATGTACGTGTAGCTATCTTGCAGACTGCAATCTGTGTTGCACTTTTCTAGTTCTGTAGGTAGTTATGTTGCTGCTGAAATTGGATAAAATGCAGCTGCATTTTTGAATCGGTTTCGAAATCAGGTTCCAGACAGGACCACTGCGTTCTCAACGTGCATTGAACTGTTCATTTCGAAGTCGGAATCGGAATAGGACAAACGACAGACACTCAGAACAAACGGAACCCCTCTGCTGATTGAAAGCAGACGCCGCTGATCATATGGCATAACAGTTTGCATTCGCTTTCTGCGCGCAGAGTTCTACTACAACAAAAACAACAACAACAACATACCTTCTGTCGCCGTGGGCAATGAATGCAATGTATTTTTGTACCTTATTCGCTCCTCTCCTCTTCTGCAGCAACCAAACACGAACGCACTTTATTGGGAACAAACACTCCTCCAATCGATTTGGAGAGAATTATTGGGTGTACTAATAAGCTTGGCGCCACTGATTAGGGTTGCTACTGGCTCCTGTGACGCCGTTTTCATTCAGAACTTTAAAAAACTCTTTACAACTACTTTAACACTTAAATTAAATTGATAAACCTATTTTGCACTGTGGCTGCGGATGAAACTCGAAAAACAATGGCCATTAGGGATGTTAAATGCGATATATCCATATATCGATATCTTTTTGGACTCCCTAAAACATTCATCTGTTTGATATTATATCATCAACAGAACTACTTTTCTTTTCAGAAATCAGAACGGATCGGATGTATATATATTTCTGTCGTTTTACGTCTTGAGATCATATAGCTACTATTTATTACATTTACCGATGAACAGGGCAGCTTGCAGAAATTATCGTTACTCTTGTGCAATAGGTGGGATTAATGGGCACTTTATTTTTAATATTTCAGAAATGATTTATTCAATCATTTGTATCTGCTCGTTACTTTTTACATATTTAAATACCTAGAATATCTTATCAAAGAGCATTGTTTTTCCCAAGTGTATCGTGTTCTGTAGATGATATTTTTTATTGAACTGCATAAATAAAATTCCAGTACTAAATATATACCAAAGGAAACCTTCGATGTGCGAGTCGTTTATTTCGAAAATACTTTTCATATAAAAACATAAACTAATGATGAGAGATGAAGTTCTAAGAAGTTGGTGCGTTTACAAAGGCACCGGCGAAGAGGATGTTCTTCTTGTTCCAGATGACGTACAGGAACGGGCGATCCGCTTGGAACTGCAACGGGAATGTCATCATCATGCGAGTCATCATGATCATTCCAGTGGCTGCAGCAGCCTCCGTGCCCTCCTCATTGACTTCAATTGTGGCCTTGTGCAATACCTTTGACACAAACACGCCTTCGGGGGATTCCAGCAAATTGTTAAACTCTGCGCTCTCCGTAAACATTTTCTTGACGCCAAGCTGAAATGTACCGAGAGGTATTCATGAAAATGAGGTCATCGCACGGCAAAGGGTACGCGATCGATAAGATAGACTAGGTGTGTCCACCTGCGACTGCAGCAGTTATTATATAATTTAATGGAATCGTGTGGTGATACATGATCTTAAACACGAGCCGCAGGCTGCGTCAATTCGTATTGATCATCACAATATCGAAGGTTATCTGAGACACTATTAAGCCGATAAGCTACTAAAAATATTCTCGCGAGATAAGACTTCCATAAATACAATACATCAAAAGTATTCCATTGATTGGGGGCGTAATGCAACGCGGCAGGCAGCAACGTGTCATAAAGCAGGCTAAATTTAGGTTCCTTCTTCTACACTCACCTCTTGCAGTTTGTCGACCAGGTCGATGGAGTAGTCAACTTTGAATTTGGGGAACTTTACTTGCACCTCCTCGACGTCCAGTTTTGAGGCCAAATCGACCAAGTTCACTGACTTCAGTTTTTCGGCCAAGGCCTTCAGGCCTGTGCGTTCCTGTGGCAACAGCACAAACATGGACAAATCGGAGTCGCTGTACGGCATATCCAGTGCCGTGCAGCCCAACTCCTCAAAGAAGCCGTAGCCGAATTTGGCCTTCTGATTCATGTAATTAACTTTAACGGCCTCCTCTTCGCCAACATAGAAATCGTCCTCCGCGGTGCCTAGCTCGTTGAATTTGTTGGTCCAGCTGCCCTTGAAGTGGAGCGCGTTCAGAAGGACAAGACGCGTGTTGTCCGTGAAGCTGTCGGCGCTAACCAGATCAGTTATCTTGCCCTCAGTCTTGGCGTTGACCCAGCTGTTGATAGCCTGAGCAGCTGCGTCGCTGAGAGCAAAGTTGATGGACTCCGCCTCGGCGTGGTACTGCTCCTTGATGGACGCCTCATAGGACTGCTTCAGCTGCTTGCCCTGTTGCACGTACAACTTATTGGCGACGCTCAGGAGGCTGCTATTCTTGTACTGCTCCAGCACAAACTGGAAGGTTTGCGCCACCTCTGGGGGGAAGTTGGACACGAAGTGCAAGGCCTTGGCGATCTCATCGGCAGTCTCACCCTGGGCACCAGCAAAGGCGAGAGCAATGCAGGCTTGGATGGAGAAGGGCGAGAAAACGATGTTCTTCTTGACGCCTCCTACGGCCAGCAGCTGGAACAGCTCATTGGTGAATCGGGCACCGCCACGCGCAAATTCCAAATTAAAGTCGAACATTGTGTCTGATGATGGCTGACTATTTGTGGGTGTACCGGCTGCGTAATCACAAAATAGATTGTTTGTACTTGAAAGAGAAAACTTTCAGCGTTTGCGTCCAACACTTACCGCTGTCTACACTGGAATGCCTTTAAAGCTATTCGGGGCCACAACAAAAGTCAAAACATACAGATATCCGGCTATGCCTATACGGCGCGGGTGAGTCACCATCATAACTGAAGAAGCGGCGTCACCTTGCCAATAGTTGATCAGTTTTCTTTAAGGGGTTTTTTTCCCCGGATGCCTTTAGTAATGCCAACTAAAAATAAGGGCCAGAAGATCTAGGAAAACCCAAAACAGCCATTCCATCTCATTATAGAAACAAAAATAATAATAAGTAAACAGCTGTTTTGTCGTGAGTTAAAATCTAGGGATGGCAGTGTGAACGCGCGTATTTTGAATTTTATTTACTTTGAACTTCATTCTTACAGTTCGATTTACCCTGGTTCCACCACTGGTTCTTTCTCTCGGCACGCCTTTATGTATACCCTTTCAGAAGATATATTAACATTGCGTAGGTGTATGTTGCGAACAAAACGAATTTGCAGAACAATTGACAGATCAGATTACCATATAATACAGCAAGTAACTGTATAGTAGAGAACTTGGATGTTGGGTGGAGTGAAGTGTTATCGCGTCATCCCAACAATTCTGTTTGTAAGAGATGGACCGTCATAGAAATGTAAGGGTATATCAAATAGGGCACTGGCCTTTATATGTTTTCTTCCATACTAAATAGCTTTCTGTTATTCTCGCACATTCGTAACATTATCATCATTAGTTGGCGTTTTATCACCTGTACATTGAATATTGAGCCGACAGTATATATACAAATGCTCCTCCTGCTTTGCTCGCATTCCATTCATTAGTTCACTTCTGAAAGCAGCTCCAAACCAAAGCAAGAAAGTTCATAATTAAATCAAAATGAGTTGTTGCTTATGCTCTTTGTTGTGCCCAAGTGTACTGTGGGCGGCTATTATCGGCGGGGCTATATATTTCCTAAAGTAAGTGTGTCAAATATAATTTCCAAAAGGAACTCTGCATGAAATTATGAAATTGTTCATGACTAACACCCGCGATTGTGGGCTGCCACTTGTTAATAGCATAAAATGTGTCTGGACTGATAATGATAATGTTTGACCTTTAGGATTTATATGCAAGGTGGCCAATTCAAAAAGGACACCGATGAGACGGGCAAGGTTTTCATTGTGACTGGAGCCAACACAGGCATCGGCAAGGAGACGGTTCGTGAGATAGCCAAACGCGGGGGAACAGTTTACATGGCGTGTCGGGACATGAACCGGTGTGAACGGGCCCGTCTGGAAATCGTTGCGGAGACGAACAATAAAAACATTTTCTCCCGAGTCTTGGATTTGAGTTCGCTGGACTCCATCCGGGAATTTGTTGCTGGGTGAGATCACTTGACAGCATATAAAAGCCTCTTCTAATATGTCTCCTCCACCATTAGATTCAAGAAGGAGCAGGACAAACTCCATGTCCTCGTCAACAATGCTGGGGTCATGCGCTGTCCCAAAACATTGACGAAGGATGGCTTTGAACTGCAGCTAGGCGTGAATCACATGGGACACTTTCTGCTCACAAATTTGCTGCTGGACGTACTGAAGGTATTGACGGTTCAAATAGGTTTCTCCTAGCTTATTATTAACCCTTATATTTGTTCTAGAAATCTGCCCCAAGTCGTATTGTTGTCGTTTCTAGCTTGGCACACACGCGTGGTGCCATCAACGTAGACGACTTGAATAGCGAAAAGTCTTACAGTGAGGCCGACGCCTATAGCCAGAGCAAATTGGCCAACGTCCTCTTCACCCGCGAGCTGGCCAAACGTTTGGAGGGCACTCGAGTCACTGTGAATGCCCTGCATCCTGGTGTTGTGGACACCGAACTGGCTAGAAATTGGGCCTTCTTTCAGACCAATTTTGTAAAGTAAGAGATACTAAAACTAATCAACAAGGCTGCTGTTAATCACACTTAATTTTAGGTACTTCCTGAAGCATATACTTTGGCCAGTCCTGAAGACTCCCAAGAGTGGAGCACAGACTTCCATTTATGCAGCATTGGACCGTGATTTGGATGGAGTTACAGGCATGTACTTTAGCGACTGTAAGCCTAAGGATGTGGCCCCTGCTGCCAAGGACGACAAAACTGGAAAATTCCTGTGGGAAGAGAGCGAGAAATGGACGGGCCTAGTGTCGTCCAAGTAGGATTAAAACAAGCGGTTTATTTCACGGTTCACGCACAGTATTTGCATACTGTAATACTAGGTGCACTTTCAAGGATTACATTAGTTCAATAAATACGATTTGCTCAGCATTCTTAAAGCGTGTTAGTGCAGATAAGTTCGATAACTATATATAGATACATATATTGTAAGTAATTTCAGTTTGCCTTTTCAATGGCGCCCGCATTAATGAATATCCGGGAGTGGAGGGCGTGTGTAGTGGGCTCCTTCTTGTCGGACGCATTAGACACTGTGTTCACGTACGTGTACTGCATAAAGAAGCCAAGCATGACGTCAGTGTTGGGCGGCAGCTCATCTGCTGGTGTGAACTGCAGTCGAATCAGAACCTTGTTGCCCTTGCGCCAAACAATAAACTTGGGCTCTTCGGTCGGCAGCTGCACGTCCTCATCGAACTCCTTGGAATCGTCGCGTTGGCTCAGCACAAACTCGCTCTCGAGCGGCACAATCTCAGCATTACTCACGTCTTCCACTTCACGCTTCACTTCTCTGGTCGAATTTTGTCGGGACAAGGTTAGTCCGGTGTTCCGCACCAGTGGAGACGACGTGACCACCTCCTCCTTAATCTTGCAGGCCTGCTGGAAGGCCTCAGGAGAAATAAGCGCCTCCTCCGGTGGAAGTGCACTCAAAATCCGTATGGTCATGTCGTACATGGTTGGATTCGAGAGCTTCAAGAGTATGGCATTGGCCTTGCCCGGCTGCAGCGGTTGCTCGCAGCGCACCATCAGCACCTCGGGAACATGGTAGCTGGCGAACAGCTGAATGCGATACTTGATCGATGTCGGATGATACTCCGGCTTAATCAAATTATGCTCGCACTGGCGGCAGCGTAGAGAACGCTTGATCCAGAGCGAACGTCGCTGCGGATAAAGGTTGCTGACAGCAGTCGGCTGATCCCCCGGCTGGCCGTGGCGCTGAGCAATCGTTGTTATGTTTCGTAGATTCAGAGGCTCCGTGAAGATGTCCTCTGGAAGGCTACCCACATCTGCAGTGGCCTCGGCAGGCGGAATACTGATTGCCTTTGCCTTGGGAATGCTTTTTTCGTGCCACCCGATTTGTCGGCGAATGAGGGACACAGTGAGGCCAGTGCGATCGGTCAGGCTGGGGAACTTGTGCTGCTTTGGCGCTTTGCGTCGCATAAACTCCAGCTTTTCCTGCTTCTCCTGCAGCACTATCGACTGGTAGTAGTCTACGAGTGTGTTGAAGCGCGCCTGGTACAGACACTCGTTCTCGGGCCAGGTGCCGGAAGCCACACCCTGATCTGGTATGCCGACGTCTCGCGTTGTCCAGCGGCATGAGAGACATGACAAATAGTATATCTTCTTGGTTGTGGGTATGGCTGACGGCTTGCTGCTAGCCGTAGCTGGAGGTGTGCCTGCTGCCGCTGGTGACTCTTTACTTTCTCCCTCCTTGGTCTCCTCTGACTTGCGCACCACTGGAACGTTGGCGGCACGGGCGGAGAGCGTGTGCTGGCAGCATGGACAGTCGAAGCAGTTGGCACAGCAGTTTTTCTTGTGTCGCGCCTCCGAGGAAGGGATATTCTCCAGGCAATTGGAGCAAAAGTGCGACTCAATTTCCGTGCATACGCAATATCCGCATCTCAACTTTGGGCAGTGGCGGCAGAAGAACAGCTTGTTGATGGGGTTCAGTATGCCGCAGGAGCACGCGTACTTTACGGGACTCGGTTGCATGAAACTCATTTTCTTTGCTAATATTTGTTGATTTCTTTTATTTATAAAATTTTGCAACCTTCCACGAATGACAAATTATCGATAAGATATACCGAAAAATATACAGAATATACTGTAAATATACAGTAATCTTAAACCATTTTCCACGACTTTGATCTTCTATTTGAAATTACCTGCTGTTTAGGAATCTAAGCTGTAATAATATAATTTTATTCGATTTATCAATCAATTCTCCAAATGGTTGGCTAGTTTTTGTGACACTTTTGATTGTATTGTTTACAAAATAAGAATCAAACTAAAAAGGTCAACCAACAAAAATTTCATAAACTTTACATGAACTGAACTACAAATTTGCTACACGTCAATTACATATTTTCTTGCTTACAGAATTAAAAGTGTGTGTAGTTGATGAGGTGAACAGGGCTATCGATGGTTGAAATGGTGCAATCGAACTACTGGAGTGAACATTTTGGCGCTGATTTAAATTTGAACTATTTACATGTTCAGTCCTCAATGGGCAATACAACATTACAATTAACATGGCAGACACTTGTAAGTACCTCTTAGAAGTTATTTTTTCACCATAATAGGATGTTCCTGGAAGTTCTGCACCCTTGATTTTAAAGTGTTGCAACAAAATCGTTAATCAACGATATTTTGGATATGTATACACCATATTATTTAAATAATTATGGCATCCTATGATCTTTGTAAAAAATTGATAATTCATTAATGGAAAAGCGAAAAAATACCATGTTGATTTATTGAAGCGCCTCCTAAGTGGTCAATTAGCACCAGACTGCCAGATTCGCTAAACATTTCATGGATCATAGAATTATTTCAATAGAAAGTGTAGGGCAGTAATCATCAAAATCATTTCCTCTTATGAAAAACATGAGTAAATACCATAACATTAAAGTTACCTAGCATCCAATTGGCATATTTCGATCATCCAATAAATCTACTTAGGCGGCTCTCCAGCCGTAAATTACATGCCAGGTGCCCATTTCTCTCCTTTCTATAAATAAATGAATTTTAATTGAGATTTCACGATTCCACTTCGTGGGCTCGATATTTAGTGTGGCGACATTATTTATAATCAATTTGGTGAACCATTTATTGATGGAGATTTGGGGGTATTTCAGATATAAATATAATTTAGATAGATTCGTATAAAATATTTAACAGTATAAGGTACTATTTGGCTTGCCACTCACTACTAATACAATAATAACTATTCCCTATTCTAATGCTTAACGATCAGCGTCAGTCTGTACTCTCACATGCGGTTAGGAGCAGCTCCGTCTAGCCAAAGAAGTTGGGCACGAAGAGCTTCTTGCGCTTGGTGCGCGTCTCTCTAACGCGAACGAGTGGAGTGAACTTCACGTTGGTGGACAGAGGGGCGTACTGTAGGCTGGCGTCTTGGCGACGGGTGTTGGTTCTGGTGCCGGTGGAGACGGGCGCAATGTAGCCATCATCCACGTAGTAGTAGCCCGGATTGAGCTTCTTCAGGCGGTTCTCCGTCAGAGGCTTGCCGTAGGTGAAGGCGTACGAGTTGCCGCTGTCCCGGTCATAGCGATCGGTGTCATAGTTCTCGTAGCTATCCAGGTCATAGTATGTGGGCTTGGCGCTGCACTGCGACAGCTTGCAGGCAATGATGCTCAGCAGGAGGCAGGCCCATGTGTACAGTTGCTATAGAGAGGGATTTGGGAGTTAGTTGGGTTGCCAGGGAGTAGCTCTGCTGCTGTAGCGGATGTAGCTTACCTTTAGATGCATTTTGTGGTTTAATCTGGTTTTGATTATCGTTAGAAATCCAAAATTGAGTGTTATCCTTTGGTTGTTTGGGGTTGCTGGTGGCTTTTGCTGTGAGTGCTCTGAACGTCTGTCGAGTTCTGTGTGCTTGGCTGTGAAGAACACTTCCTTTATATACGAATATGCTGCCCTGTTCGCACCCAAATGTGAAAATTTTGCCCTCGGGCAGAGCCGATGCCACAGCTATGACGCAAGTCCGGAGGAAACGCTTGGTGGCTGCGACAAATCGACAAATCGACAATCAGCAAACGACACCCGACTCCCGACATCTCAACTCTCTTCCATTGACGCCATCCGTCTTCTGGCTTTTGCGCATGCGCCGCGGCTGTGACTTCAATCCGATTCGAGTCGTTGGGATCATTGTGGTGTGGTGGTGTGGTGGTGTGGTGGTGGTGGTGGGCTGTTGTCTTATCACTATGTGATTCATTTGAACGAAAGGCTCTAATTGCCGGTTGCAATGTTTCGGTTAGCAGGGAATGGGTCCAGTTTGACTCGGAAAACTTTTTACAATGCGGAGAGATACGAAGCGAAGCCCAAAATTCCACCACTGCCTGGCGCTGCTGTTCAAACAAACATATTAATTAAATGCTTTCCAAATGTCTATCGAGTCGAGGTCGGAAAGATACGGAGACCTGACGGAGTTTCTTAATATATTATATTAATGCGTTAAATTAATATTTTGTTATTTGTCAAAGTAAAGTGACGTCAAAGCAAAGGCGTGAGCGAAAGACGGTGCGGAAAGATACAATCAGCAATAATTCCAATATTTCTTGGCATAATTTAATTAATTTATTGTTTATTTTTCCACCTACTTTCCCATCAAGTTAATTTCCAGCATGAACGAGACTCAGACGAAATTCATTATGTAGTTACAGCTGGCAGCGCATGGGGGGGCTCGTGGCCAATGGCGTCTGAGCAATGTGTGTGCCAGGCTCTGCGGTCTGGAGTGGTAATTTCTGTGTGGTCACACGATAAATCTAAATACGGAATCCCATAGCGTTGTAATGTCGCGAGGCTCGGGGCTTTTTTTTATTATAAATCAGCACGGAGACGCAAATAGAGTTGGCGCCTGCCGAAAATACTCCACGAACTTAAAAATATCCAACCGCAATGGGACACGCCGCTTCGGCGTGAAAATGTTGCTGACTCAGGAAGTGAGAAATCCAACATTTTCTGGAAAAATACAAGCATAACGTATGGTGATGGCAGACTCTACTAAAAATTAGCAAATTTGTTTAATCTGTGGAAGGGGCTTGGGTCTGGGTCTGGGTCTGGGACTGAGTCTGAGTCGGAGCTGACAAAAAAGGGGCATGACTTCATAACTTGGGGGGACGGAAGTCATAAATGAATCACAAACGGCGAGGAATCTCGAAGAGAGCTGCAATTAGTTTGATTAGTCTTCTGTAAACCATCGTTAAGCAGATGGAATTAATCCCGAAAAAGACTTGGGCTTGCACATAAACGTTTTCGCACTTAATTATCCTCAGATGTTTAGAAGATTTAGCTCGAGACGGTAAATATAAACCTGCTAATTCAATAAATTTATAAGCAATTTATATAAATATAATTCCCCACCGTAAGTCCCGTCCGTCCCTTCCCTGCCCAGTCATAACAACATGTTCGTCGTTTTCCACAACATCTCATCTTTTCCACACAAAAGCCCGACGCACTGAGTAAATATTATTGCCAACTCCAACAGCAGCGACAACAGCAGAAAGGTGCGAAAAATCGCCAGAGCAAAAGGAAAACATAAGCAACAGAATCGAGTTCAGCGTGCATTACGTATACGCACGATTGGCTGCCTGCACTCGGACCGAAGCGAACTGCCCTGGGAGCACGTTTCTTTCAGCACGCTTTTGTGTCACACCCCCACAGATTCTTGGAGGTTGGTGCAAAATATCAGACGCTTTGGCTAATTTATGCACGACGTACGACAATCATTTTGCAGCCAGTCCGCCATGATTTGCACTCCAGCTGCTCGGTAAGTTTCCTCAGACTTGACTTCATGTGGGAAGGTAAATATCTAAATTTGCCGCCTTCCAGTAATATAATATTTACTTTAGCACGATTTTCGCCCATTCAATTGCTGCTCTTACCGCCTTATGACTGGTGTGAATTCTGATTACAATGAACTATGGAAAATTTCATGTCTGCCACCTGAGGGATCAATGGATCTCTGAGTTTTGACCTACGCTAAGTCAACAGAGTGAATGAAACTAGGAAGTAAGCTTCTCTCTGTCATGGAAATATATCAAAGCTGATTGCTGGAAACCAAGAGGAATACCCATTGGAGCTGATACTTTCCCTAACCCTCATGGAAGGTCTGCTGCTGCAGCGTAAGTTAAGTGGAGCACGTTTCTGTGAGAGCCGTTCTTGACCGCAACCAAGGCAAACACATTGCGAGGGAGTGCAAAATTCCTGATATCCTAACCGATTAGTCAAACAGCCACGAAAACAAGGGAGCCACTGGCAGAGCTCTGCAAATATTTAGATGGTAATCGCTTAAGCATACGCTTGTAGATCCATACATATTTATGTTTATTTGTGAGATTAATGTTTTTGTTATGCCCGGGCAACTCTTTGAGCACGATCTATTGAGAGCTCCAGGTGGCTTAGGTCGGAAGTGTGATCGAAGCATTCGTTGCTACCTTGTAAACGACCCTCGAGAACAGCTTACAAATGAACGCATTCACTTCCTTGTTGACAAAAATAGTTTGAGGAGCGATACAAATGTGATGGCGTAAGCCTTTTATTAGCGGCTTATGTGTGAATCGCTTCCGATTAAGCGTGCTCTCCCGCACAGTCGAGACTATTCTCGGCGCAGTCGGAAAAGCCTGCGACTCTTTCATCTCAACTAAATGTCAGGACACGTTGCCTCAAGTGCGTCACTGGCGTTTTAACACTTCATTATCGAGATATTCCCATCAAGCCAACGTATTCCTCAGCGTCGAGATGCGTCTCTGCTATTAGTTGCAATTAAATCCCGATTAGCAGTGTGTCTAATGAACGGACGACTGCGCCACGCTTAATACAGTTTGAGGAACGTTTTATAAACGTGTTTTCGGCAAACATGTGTTCCCACATCACAAGACCAATCGTATAGTTTTGAATTCTCCATTCACTAATCAACTTAGTATAGCTTAAAACAAGTAACATGCGGAAACAAAATATTTTGATGCTACTTTTTCTGCTGCAGCATCAGATGACCCTTGGGCTTCAATTTGTTCTCGATGATTCGCTGCTTCTCCGTGGCGGCTGCCACTTTGTTGCGTTCGTACCGCTGCTTCGCAAACTCCAGCTCTCCGCTCAGCTCGACGATTTTGGTGGCGATCTCTTGTTGCTTCAGCAGGCGCTTTTTCTGGTTGGACTAAAACAACAATCACATTAGTAGGCAGCTCGGATGTGGAAGTGTGGATAATAAGTAGTACATACACCCAGTGGCGTCGGTCTGCCATCAAGGAACGTGTAGTCGGGCAAATTGGTTAGTGGCCCAAATGCATTTGGATTCTCTGGGAGCCCCTTGTCCGCTCGCCACTTCTGGTCAATGGCACGAGCGGCGGTGGTAGCGACATGCCGCTGGCCTATCCCTGAAAGTACAGTTGTTTTATTTGTATGGAACATAAGTATGTTTTCAGTACGGTTCTCACCAGTGATTCCACTTGAGGTGGCAAGGCACAGCTTGGTGATTTGTAGCATTATTTGATTGTGGGTTATCAGAGGCTAAAAAAAAAACACAATTTTGACATAACCAACAGTATGACCCACCGCGGACTTATCGTAAAAATATACCGACTGACAAGACAGTTGTATTTATCCCACAGATATATCGATAAAAATGGTTTAATTTTAATTGCCTACGAATATATTGATTTATCAATAAATATTTAACACAACTGTCATCTCTAAGCAATACACAACACATTCGCGCGACAACAAAAACAAAACCAAAAATTCTGCGACATTTCAAGAATAAAATCATGTTTGGGGCCACACAATCATCGAATCGCATGAACGATTTCGAGGTGGCATCGCCGCCTGACGATTCTGTTTCGGCCTTGGAGTTCAGCCCAAGCACATTGCAGAAAAACTTCCTGATTGCCGGCAGCTGGGACAGCAGCGTACGGTGTTGGGAGGTGGAACAAAACGGAGTAACAGTGCCAAAATCTATCAAATCAATGGGCGGCCCAGTGCTCGATGTGTGCTGGTCTGACGATGGGACAAAAGTGTTTATGGCGTCCTGCGACAAGCAAGTGAAGCTCTGGGACTTGGGATCAGACCAAGTGATGCAAGTGGCGGCTCACGATGGGCCGGTAAAAACATGTCACATGGTGAAGGGGCCGAACTACACGTGTCTGATGACAGGATCTTGGGACAAAACATTAAAGGTGAGTCCTTGGAATTTTCTCAGCTCCAATTAACTGAATCTAAATTTCTTTGTGAAATAGTTTTGGGATACCCGGTCACCCAACCCAATGATGGCAATTAATCTGCCAGAACGCTGCTACTGTGCGGATGTGGAGTATCCCATGGCCGTTGTGGGCACTGCTTCACGAGGACTAATCATATACTCTCTGCAGAACACTCCCAGCGAGTACAAGCGGCAGGAGAGCCCATTGAAATATCAGCATCGCACCATATCGATTTTTAGGGATAAGAAAAAAGAGCCCACTGGATACGCTCTGGGCAGTATTGAGGGCCGCGTGGCCATCCAATATGTGAACCCGGCCAATCCCAAAGATAATTTTACCTTCAAGTGTCATCGCTCTACGGGCACCTCTGGCTTCCAGGACATTTACGCCGTTAACGACATCGCATTCCATCCGGTGCACGGCACTTTGGTCACTGTCGGCTCTGATGGCACATTCAGCTTCTGGGACAAGGACGCCCGTACTAAGCTCAAGTCTAGCGATGCCATGGATCAGTCTATAACCAAGTGTGGTTTCAATTCGAATGGCCAAATATTCGCATACGCGGTCGGATACGATTGGTCAAAGGGCCATGAATACTTCAATCCAGGAAAGAAGCCTCAAATTTTTCTGCGCTCTTGCTATGAGGAATTAAAGCCTCGGATAAACTGATTGGAGGCTTGTTTTAGTTTGGAGCTAATCGACAGTATGAACTGCGAATAAAATTAAATCACCACTTTGAATGTTTATAGATTTTTAATCAATTTCACTAATGGTGGCCCTTGTCGTCGTGACCGTGTCCATGGTCACCCTGGCCCTTGCCAATACCCAGTCCGTACTCGACGGCAATGGTAGCAAGAAAGGCGCAGAAGCCAACGCCGAGACCGCGGAACATGAAGGTGTTCAGACGAGATCTGTGGGTGCCGAAGGCCTTCTTCTCGTAGCGCCAGGCTTCATTCCTGCAAGAATGCAAACAATGGTAATCAAATAAGATGAAGAGTACGTTGCAATTGAATGTAATTACCTTAGCCACGGATCACTCAGCCCCTGGCGGCCCAGAGCTTCTTTCACTTCCAACAGCTGTGGCACATTTTCCACCTTGTAGATCGAAGGATGTGGTACCTTGTAGGGTTCTCCGTGATGTCCGCCCATTGTGTGCTATTCCTTTGCTAAAAATTTGAAACAAATCAATTGGATTCTCTGTGTTATTTGCAATGTTTAACCTATCGCTGAACAATTACATAAGAATGTTTATGTTTTGAAAACTTTTCCGGCCTGCTGGGCAAACTAAAATTACGAGCAATCAAGTAAAATTCTCTCTAAATGCTGTTGCAACTGTGGCAACCCGCTTAATTTATGTAAATTACATAAAATATATTAAAAACTAAAATTAATAAAATACACACAGTTTAGAGCTGGAGATGATCAAGGGACGATAAGTTTTCTCAGCTGATTTATCGATGTATCGCGCAAAAGCGCTAAAAAATGCCAAAAAGAGTGTGCACACGAAAGCGTCTATCGCCGTTTCGAATAAGCATTTGCCAATCTACATTTTTGAATATTTCTTTATTATTTAAACGTAAATCCGTAGAACATTTGTAATTTGTAAACGTGCTTAAGTGAAAATATACATGAATTACTTTCCATTAGAATTACACTAGTTACACAATAAGTAATAGTAATATTTGCAGGATTTTGTATATATTAATAGCGATACTTTTTTAATTAACTTATATATTGTGTGTTTGTGATTATATTAATATATGAACTTCTTCACTCTAAAACACTGTCACTACAATTGGAAAAAGGAAATCGTTTTAAAGCATACAATAGATACATTTATACTCATATAACAAAATACTGTTCCTTCCTTACAATCTTGATATTTTTGTCATTTTGCATTGTATTGTAAAAGCTAGTTACAAAAACGCATGTTCCGCATGCCCCTCACTCTTAAAATACAATACATATATAGGTGTATATTCATAAAGAATTCTCACAATCGGTTAAATCATATTCAGTTCCATCGAACCCACTTTTAAGCTTAATTCTGATCTGGAAATGCGGAAAGCACGTACATTCATTCAATCAATCCATTAATCTATAAACATTTCATCTACTCTTGGAAGCGACGTTTTCTCAACTAAATTTTACAATATTTCTGTGTTTGTTTTCGCATTACTTTTCTGTGTTTGGGTTCTCTGCTTTGCAAATGCCTCGAGACAATCAAGGGACGGGACCAGCTTCTCCATTCTCTGCTCTGCACTTAAGGTTACGCTTGGTTAAAAGTTAAAAGGGTTCCATTCATTTGCTGGCTGTGAGGGTGGGGGTTGGGGGGCTATATCTGGGTTAAATAGGTTTCTGTTGAATCACATTTTGAATTTCTAAAGATTAGTTGATTTTTTTTTTCATAATTTAACACATGTTGCTACAACAATTTAGGTATTTTGAAATTAAATTGTACTTTCAACTTGTGTTCCTTTCTCCGCTCTAGTTTCCACTTCCTGTTTTCTTTTCCCTGTCACTCTCTAGATCCTGTCCTCGGCCAGAATCTCGTTGAGCAGTCGATTGAGGCTGTCCAGGCCGGTCAGAAAGCCGCCGTCGGGTCCATGGTGAACGGGCGCCACGGGCGGAGTGGGCAGCATGCTGCCATTGCGTGGCACAAAGGCCGTGTGTGCAAAGTCAATGAGACGCACGTCTACAAAGCACTGCGAGTCGTCTGTGGGTGGCGCCGACATGTCCAGCGACTTGGAGCCATGCTGTAGCAGTGCAGAGTTACGCTGTTGCAGCTCAATGCCACCGCTGTTGTTGTTCTCCCCCTCAGCACTGGTACTGGCACTGGAGCGACGCTCCAGCGAGTCCAGGAGTATGCCTGCCAGCATGGAGTTGGGCTGCGGCGCTGTCTTTGCGGGCGATGAGACGGTGGAGACGGGTGTCGAGATGATTGTAGACTTTTTGGCTTCCCTCGAGTCGCAGTCATCGTGGGCAGCATAGTGTTCGTCGTCGTCTTTGCAGCGCAGACGTTTGACAGCACCCTTGACCGATTTGAGGGACGAGGCGCTGGAGGAGGGGGGTGAAACCAGAGACTTGACGGTGCCGCTGTTGGAGACACTTGAGTTGCCGGCAGTGTGTGGAGGAGAGGTTGGCTCAGTCCCTGTGCCTGGGGATGCCGCATCGAACGATTTGTAGCGCTTGAACATGGCCTCTGTGGGTCCAATAACGCTGCCCTCGAAGTCGGAACTGGCATCGTCGGAGCTGTTGTTGCCTGTGCAAGAAATTAACTGAATAATATCGGAACACAAGATCGAAATAATGTCGCATTCTTACATGTCTGTCGACCGCTGGCAACGGCCTTGATCTGCTCGGACAGGCCGGAGAAGTCGTCGCTGCTGTTGCTGCTGTAGTTCATCCAGGAGTCACCGGAATGTGGCGATGAGGTCGCCACGTTGGGCAAAGCTGGCTCTGGATCCAGGAATACTGTCTCTTCGGAAATTGGAATGAATGCGGGTGCGGGCTGTGCACTGCCGTTCTGGCCCTTAGCGCCCGCCGATTTGGCAGCCGTGACGCCACAGCTGCGTGGCGGTGGCATGGCGGCCGGGTGTGCCTGATCCTCATCCTCTTCCTCGTCGGTGGTGGTGATGCTGGCCGACGAATGCTTGACTCCGCGGGCCGCTGCCTCCCCAAAGCCGCGCTTGTGCAGGTGTCGACGCGTGGCCAGATTCAGCAGCGAGCTGGAATCATTCGATGCATCCGCATCGTAGTTGCAACCATCTCCGCCCGTGCTGCTATTGGTGGCCGAGGCATTGCCGCTGTCAGCAGCCACCAACTGCAGGTCATCGTCCGTGTCATGGGGCTCCAGCTCGTCGCCAGCCTCATGGCCCGCCTCGTCTTCGTCTTCGAGGTCGTCGTCATCTATGCTGTTCTCCGGATGATAGTCAAAGGCTGTTGTCGAGATGGTTGCCGACTTGGGGGCCTCCGGCCACTCATCCAGGCTAATCGATGGTGGGTAGGCCATCGGATTCTCCTCAAAGCCCTCGTAGACAATGAGCAGGGAGCTGATGGGGACATGGAAAGTAAGTCACAAGTCACAAGGATCTCAGGAGTTCCTCGATCTTACCAGGAGTAGAATCTGTAGCTGGACTGCTTCTCAATAACTCTGCGCATCTGAAGCAGTCGCTGCAGGATCTTGCGAATCACACGGATCCTCAGCCGGAAGCCGTTGTAGAAGAAGTCATGAAGGGCCTTCTTGAAGCCGTCCTCGTTGAGCTCGCGGCCCCAGTACTTGTCGCGCTTGGCATACTGCTCGAGATCGGCCTGGTAGGTCTGCATGCCACAGAGGCGCACACCAAGGGAGCCCGAGGTGCTGGCTGCGCACTTGGCCATCTGCTTGGAGCGCTTCTCCGCCGAGGCATCGTCCCCATGCTGGCGGGTGCCCATCTTCAGATCGAGAATGCAAGGATTGCGGAACTGCGAGGTGATGTTCTCGAGCATCAGGAAGTCTGCAAGCGCAAGGGTTAAGTCTCAGCTTAGGTTGGGGTTATAATGGATTACTCACATTGCTTATTGGAGTTGTCAAGTTGGGAGATGCTCTTGATGACATCGGCTGCGTTGCCATTCTTGTGGACCTTCATTCTGAAAATGTATACACGTATAGCTGGTTCTCATTCTTGGCTGTTTGACGGGTTCACTTACCTCAGCACTTCGTCCCGCTTCCTCTTGGAGGCGCTCATCTTGCGGACGGGCACGGCGGCAGCATCGTCCCGGAAACTGGGCGAGTATCGCTTGTCCAGCTTGACGCCTCCCATGCTGGTGGCTTGCATGACGCCTGGAATAGAAATAGAGTCGGGACCGGTACAGAGATTAGTGGATTGTAGCAGGCGTCTCTTGATCTTGATCTTGTAGTTGTATGTAGTTTAGCATCGAATCGACACGACAATTGGGGTCGGGGTTAGGGGTTACGTTAAGGCGGTCTAATGTGTTAAATGGATGCGGAGGCAGCGGTCCCTTACTTATGCACGACAGTTAGCAGACAGATCGATAGAGTGAGTCGCGGGACAGACAACAAGCATTTCCGACGGATAATTCCAACATTGGTGGAATGATCTGTATGAAACATCAGACGGAATCAGAGGGGTTCCCACAGACATTCATATGGTTATGTATCGTAGTATTAATATAACAAAAACAAAAAAAAAATCGTACCCAATTGTAGACCTAATATCTAAGACCAAGTGGGTGCAATCAGTGAGAGACTTAACGAGCCGACGCAAGAACAAGAACAGGTGCAGGAGGAATAGTAGGAGCAGGAGATACAGGAGGAGGAGCCGGTTCTGTTTACAAAAATGAATTTCATTCAAATTTCTCTTCGGTGGGTGATGGTTTTTGGGTGCCCTAAACTTAAGTGTAACTTTAACTTAAAGGAAATGGAACATCTTAGCTAACATAATCGTATTGTAATTGTAATAGTATTGCAGATTGCAGATTGTAGATTGGTAATTAACATAGTATATGTAGGTAGTATGTAAAATAGATAGTAGATAGAGAGTTTTATTCATACAAACCCTTTTCGGCCATTGTCTTGCTTTGGCATTGCCTTTGGCTTGGCTTGGCTCGCTTGCATTTCTAATCGGCTGTGAGAGTCTTCGAGACGTGGAGGTCAGGAGACAGACAGAGCAGAGATCCGAGCCGATCGGTTCGGTTGGGATCGTTAGGGAGACCGGATACGAAGACGGAGACGACGATGACAACAACAACGTTTGAGGGGGGCAGCACGAGGCACGAGCACGATGTGCGTTCTGAACAAACACATAAAATAAAACTCGATTTTGTTTGTTGCATTTCGGAAAATAAATTGGAAAAATTGCAATTTGTTTTTGGTTTTTGATTTAAAGATATTTTATGGTGTGTTACTCTCTCTCTCTCTCTCTCTCTCTCTCGTTCCGGTTCGGATCAGTTCGGTTCGGTTTGGTTCTGCTTGGATATTGCTTGGGGCAGCCAGCGGCAGATCTCAAGAGCGGTTCTGTCAGTCAGGCACCTCGAACCTTTGGATAATACGAGCATAGAGCGTATATGTAGTGGCAAGGGGCCGATCCACGTCCCCCGATCCAGGCCTCCATAGAGTGCCCGAATCGAGGTTGTGTCCTGGCCGTTCAAGTTCAATGATTGTAGAATTTTTGCAATCAAAAATTGTACAACCTCAATGGGGAGGATTCACAGTTTGTAGGTTTACTTTACTTTGGAGTGGTGATTTCTCTTGGAGTTGTTGTTTGGTTGTTTATTTATTTTTGTATTATTTTGCGACTTACCCGATGCTGTCTGTTTTGTTCGGTTACTAACTAAAAGGTTTTGATATTTGTTTATCGATCATAATATTCCCTGGTTCTGGGATGGTTCTGGCTCTGGTTGTGGCAGATACAAATTTGTTGTTTTCTCTTTTATTTTCGTATCTCACTTTTCGTATTACAAATCGTTAAAGCTATGATTTTAGCTACATATTTAAATGTATGTAAATGGTTCAGTCTTTTCGTCAGTTTTTCTTTGCTTTTTTTTCTTTATTGTTTTTTTCTTTTTTAGTTTTCTTTTTTGTGCTCTGTTTTATTGTAATTTCATATCAATAAAAAAACTTACAGACTACAGATATATAGATATCACATATTTGAGATGTTTATTTGTTAGAGAAAATAAATACTTAAAATAATAAATGATATTCGAATGCGACTTTGGCTTTATCTAAGGACGATACAAGAGGAGCAAACGCATATTGTTTGTTTGTTTGTTTGTTTGTTTGTTTGTTTGTTGATTTCATTCATCAGTTGTTTTTTGTTTTGTTGCGAGTTAGTACAGCAAACAAAAGTTCGATACATTCTACGATAAATGTGTGTTTGTTGGTAAATGTGTTTATGTGTATATAGAAAGATGGCAGCTTTAAGCTGTATTCCGATTCGCTGTTCATTCATTCATTTTCTGATTCATTTATTAATATTTGTTTATATAGAGTAGAACGATTAGTTGTTTCGAAACGAAAGATCAAATGAAGCGCTTCGACTGAATCGACAAGTTGATATTCTTGAACGTGTGAGATCGCTGTGATCTGGTATTTGAAGGGTGTGGTGTGGTGGCAATAAAGGCCGGTATCTTACCTTTGTATTTGGGCACAAACTTCAGTATGTCCTGCGGAATGTTCTGGTAAAAGTCCAATTCCCGCAAGTTCAGGGGCTTAATCACCGTCGACTGGTTGAGCAGCAACAGGCGAGTGTGTCCTCCGACCTGTAAGTACAAAAGTAGAACATAATTAGCGTAAATTCCATCAATAAAAGGCAAACATCCACTGCCTGATATTATCATAATCGTTATCATGCGAATTGGGGTATTTTTTTAGCTATTCTAACGCTCTGACGCGTGGCCAAAACCACAACCAATGACATCTTATCGCCTCCTACGTCATTTCTTGGTTTTAATCTGTGGAAGTGCCCGGACAGCGAAAGTGCGAAAAGTACATTGAAGCTCCGAGCGAATGCCACAGCTTATCGAGAAGTCGGGGAAACATAAAAAAAGAAAGAAACAAATGTTACTGCGCTGGGCAAACACACATTCATATCACCGTCGAGACACTGTCTCCAGATAAGGAGCAAAACGACTCAGCAATCAGTCATTTGTTTTCAAATGCCATTTGTTTCAATTCATTGACAGCAAAATTATATTTATCTCTGAAGTGGGCAATGCCCGACGAGAGGATTTGCTAGAGACTGGCAGCCATGGATGCACTGCGGAAACAGTTGGGGAAGTGGGCGGGCACCAAGTCGCCCCGACCCGGGGCCTCAAAATCGGACAGGTCCACCACCACGACCAGCAGCAGGTCCATCTCTCGACAGTCGACAGGTTCCACGTCCAAGCGGCGTACCACCAGACACACCAAAGCCGTGGCCTTCGACCACAATAAGTACGCGGTGACTGGTGGCAAGGCAAAGGGCAAAGCGTCGAGCGCAAGGATGACGACCGTGGAGCCTACCATCACGAAACGAGGCATGACCGTGGTGGAGCTGATCGTGCCAATTAGGGACTCGCTTGGGGGCAAATACTACTGTGATGCGCCACATGAGGGCCGCAAGGTGCTTCAGGAGAAGCTTCGCATCCATGTGGATGCTCTTTTTCATATGCTGTTCTCCGCCAAGTCGCCCTTCTTCCAAAAATTCCACGAGACGCGCCATTCGACGGATCTGAAGTTGGGCGAGTGGCGGAAGAATGCCGCAGGTCAGAACGAGCGCGTCATCACGGTCACCGTCGCCCTGAAGGGCAATGTCGGCCCCAAGGTATCGAAAGTCACCGAGACGCAGACACTGCGCGCTTGCACACACCCCGGCCAGCTGTACTCCATCGACGCGACCAGCGTCAATGCGGAGATTCCCTATGCGGACTCCTTCCTGGTCAACATGCACCTGTGCCTGCGCGGCACCCCTGAGGGTCACACCGAAGTCCTGGTCATGGCCCAAGTCAAGATAATCAAGCCAGTGTGGGCAGTGGTCCAGTCGTTCATCGAAAAGAACACATTTGCCGGAGTCGAGGAGTTCTTTCAGTCCCTCTACAGTGCCCTGATCAGGGATCAGAAGAGGACCACAATGCTGCCTGCCAGCAGTTCCACTTATTAGAGCGGACAGTTGCCCATTAATATATACTAGCTGTTAGCCATTATTTAGTTGACTTTGCTTTGGAGGGAGGTACTAACCTGATTGGAGAGCGGGTGCAGTGCCACTTCATCTTCGTTGTCCAGGAGATCCTTGCCCAGCTGAGAGGGGGTCTTTGATTTGCCGTCGACTGACGCCTCCGAGCACTGCCTTAGCCACGCCGCATGGACCTTGGGACCACTGGATATGCCAGATGCTACGTCTGGAGCAGCAGCTGCGTCCGGCAATGGTTGCTGCTGCTGTTGCTGTCTGTTGATGCCACTGACACTACTGCTGGAACTGCTGGGGTGGCTGTTGCTCACCGACAGTTGCTGGAGATTGGCGGTTACCAGGCTGCTGCTTGTGCTGACGCAGCTGCTCCTTGGGCCAGCAACATGGTGCTGATGGTGATGGGGTGTTGAGGGAGAGACTGACGTTGCCGGAGAGCCTGGCTGCTGGAGGAAACTGGAGCCGCTAGCAAACTGCAGCTGGGACTGCAACTGGCTTAGGCTGGTGGAGATTTGGGCAACCAGTTCCTGCTGCTGCTGTTGCTGCTGCTGCTGCTGCTGTTGTTGTTGCTGCTGCTGCGCCTGCTGCTGTTGATGTAGATCACGTCCATGAATGCGTTGTTGCTGCTGTATATTTGGAACATGCTGCTGATATGACGACAAGTCAGAATCTCCCATGCCCCAATCCCCCAAGAAATATACCATTCCCTGCCGCGCGAATCAGTGTAACGAGCTCTGTGGATCTTCCTCCTTGTGGCTTCTGTTGCTGCTTTTACCGCTCGACGCTCGGCGTTCACTCTGATGCGGCTTTGTTCTTCTGTCTGCAAAGATAGACCATAAATTCCATTACTAAATGGGACATGTTCACCGTATTTCCCCATGGAATCCCCCACAATGTGACCCTCTTGATCGGTTAATCGTTTTGATCGTACACTGAACCGGTTTCGACACTACGCTGCCCCCCAGGTGCCGTGGGATCTCCGGTGTGGTCGGAACAAGTGCATTCTGACTACCAGCAGGCGACAAGCCGGGTTCAATGTCATTTCCGCCGCGGAACACGCACACTACGGACACGTACTTATACGGTTTCGATTCATGCTACATGCGATCGGCCATTCTGTTCCGGTTTACGCGGGGAGATCTACTGGATAACCATAGGGAAGATCGCTAAGCCAGATGTAATGATCATGAACACCTCAACACAGAACACAGCAAATCAGCTGAGAACATTCGCTCTGTGGGTGACTGAATCGTTCGATCCCTCTCTACTATCTCTCCGACAATAGCAATTAAATCGCTTAATGAAGCGTATGTATAATGGAACACAATTGGGAGGGGAACGGAGACGCAGAGGAGGACTGAGATTGGACCGAGCCAAGCGTGTGGCACGTGCATCTATAGATCACGAATAGGTTCGGGGGCGAAATTGCGTTGCAGACAGGTTCCACCAGTCTCCAGTTCCAGTTCCAATTCCAATTCCAATTCTAATCGGAAATTCAAATATGGAACTGCAGACGTCATAAAGATAAGAAAATCTCCCCAGATGCGTATTCCTGTGCACATTTGCTAGCAATTAGTACCTGGCTCATGTTTACCTGGCCTGTAGGGCCCCAGACCTTAGCGATAAAGGGAACTTAGATATGGCCACAGATCAGATAGTAACTACTGTGCGGAACGAACCGTAGCCTGACTTCTAGGAACCACAAAGCGATTAAAAACAGCTACGACTACGACGCTGTGCTGTGCTGTTAGGTTCAAGTGGCGATGATGAGGTTCATTAACTTGAGTGATTCATGCCGCCGCCGCCCGGCGGGCATTGTCTTGTCTACGCGAAAACCATACGGAGAAATATTATCGCTAAGAGCTAAGGCTATTCGCACAAGAAGTTATTTTTAACAAAAGCCTTAAAATAACGCATATATTTACTTGCCTTTTTTTGGCATTATCCACAAAGTTTCGAGGGAAAATGTCAGGCTAAAGACAAGAAAATTGATTGCAGCACGGAAGGCACCACACACAGACACACTTTCGCTGGCTCTCTCACATGTTTAGCTATTATACGAGTATGGCTGGCTAATCGGGCGGCCAATTAATTGCATGCCATTAAAGATCGAAGATTGAAGATCAAGTTGAGGCAGCGCTATAAAGATCAAGCTGATTCAGCAAAATCTGACCTTATCAGAGAATGGAAAAAAATGTGGAATCTGTTGGGGAATGAAATGGAATGGAAAAATGGCAATCAAACAGAGACCGAAATAAACAAAGGAAAAGGAGGAGGAAATCCATACATACAAACATTTGATATGTATATTGCGACGTAAAAACTATGCATGGAACTCCCTCAGTCAGTCCCCAGGGTATGCTCCACATTCTGAGTGTATGTACATATGTATATAAAGGTGCCTGAAAGTGGGTCAACGCAGACAGAGAGACCGCCGCTGTAACAGCGAGACCCCAAACAGCTGCAATTGCGACGCGGAGGCCAGCCGCCAGCCAGGCAAACATATTTCCGAGCAGCGCTCTATTGGAAGATATTGCTCCCCGAAAGCAAATTTAATTAGCAAATCAGAGAAGGAAGCAAAATGGAGCCGATGTCGACGATAGCCATGACAACAAAGCGAAACAATACAATCATTACCCATTTACGAATAGATTAACTTTCGGTATTTCCGCAACATTCTGGCTACGTAATGCGACTAAAGTTAGAGTATTCGAAAAGGTCTGGGCACTGATTCGTTGAATGTGGCGTGGCATTGTCTGATGCCAACACCAGAAAACAAATGAAAAGTGCAAATTGAAAGCTAAACAAACACGTATTGATATCAATTTGAAAACATTCTCACACACACACATACATAGTGTTTATTGAAATATCAGACTTTGATAGACATACAGGCATATAGTGTTGATTAAATGAAATACAAAACATACTCGGAAAGTTCGAGTATGTTCTGTATTTAATGGCAACAAAACAAAGACCAGGTAGAGAGAAGCGGAGCACCTGATAGTTTGTAAATGGAATAGTAGCTGCGAAACGAATCGAATTCGTAAACCTGACCCGCATGCAAATGAAAAAAAGGAGGCCTGCCTGGCCAGACCTGTAGCCCCCTTCCTCTACAATCGCTGTGGACCCGAACTATGGCCCACTGTACTGATAACGAAAGGCAGATTAAACGGAATTTGGCGAACACTTAGCAACAACAAAAGAGCATTACATGAAAAGCAATTCAAAAAGAAAGCCCTGCGATTAGCGCTCAAAGGGAGGGACTATGACAAAACGAGAGCTGGGACAGCGAGAGGGAACAGCAGCAACAACAGTTATCTTTGTGACCGTTCGTCGGCAAAACGAAAGCCAAATCTTGCGACAAGCAAAAGCGATAAAAACAAAAGGCAAAGAGCACTTGAAACTGGACTAGTACAATGGAGATTTTGTGCAATTTAAACGGCAATTAGTCATGCACGTATGATCTTCAGGAGGCAATAGCAGTTTCAATGGAAAACTTTACCAGTTTTGGACGGGGATTTTATATACTTATGGCCATACGAGTATTTTTTGATTATACCAGTTTTTGGGGCAGGTTGATTACAATATTTCGCATATCAAAACAAAAAGCAGCTGTGAAGTCGATATCTAAGCGAATTACGTGCCAAATATACGATGACGGGAGGAAAGATCTAGCCAGCACACACATTCACAACAAAGCAGACGTAGAGATAAAACGTTTTCAAAACAAAAGATTAACACAAAAGAGATAGCCAAAGAAGAAGCAAGGAAGCAAGAAGAAAAGAAAGAAACGCCACTTCAACAAAAAAAAACGATGACGTCGCGAACAGGCAGAGAGAGGGAGAGCGAGCAAGAGTCTCTCTAGCTATTTTTACAGTATACACGAAAAAAAAAGTTAAGTAAAATACACACGCACACATACGAATCCCACAAATCACTCACACACACACAACTCGGGGCTAAAATTGCTAATCGTTTTCTTGGCTCCGTTTCGTTTAAACAAATTTACCTTTTTCGAGACAACTACGGTTGTCCCCAATTGGTTGTTAACTTTTCCAATTTGTTGGCTTAGTTTTCATTCAGTTTGCATTTTCCACAGTGAAAATCTCACACACACACACACACAAGCACTTGTATGTATACGGTTTTATGCTTCTCAATTAAATTTGATTTCCCACATGCGCGTTTTAGCTTATTTTGCACTTTATCACGCACCACAATACTTTTAAGCGCAAACACGTCCGACTGGTCCCACTGGTAAAATTTTTATATTATTAAAAAAGGTTAAATATGTTATTTTGGATTTTGCTGCGCGCGGCGGATGGGAAATTTCTGTCGGGGAAATTTTCAGGGGAATGCTCTCCTGTGTGTAAACGGTCGGGGAAATGCTCTCCTGTGTATAAACGGTCGGGGAAATTCTCTCTTGTGTATAAACGGTCGGGGGAATTCTGTCTTGTGTGTACACGGTCGGGGAAATTCTCTCCTATTTCGGTTGGGTGCTCATAACTGCGTACAAATTAGGTCCCTGTGATAAGAATAAAAGATAAAGATAAACCCAGTAAAAATCCGGACACGCCTTTTTTATATAATAAAATATTTTTTAACATATTCTCATCATTTTTTGTTTGACACAAATTAATAAATAAAATATAAATGCGATTTTACCCTGAAGAAAAGGCGATTCCGCGCCCATTCAAAAAAACCTTCCTCTCACTATTATGAACTCAAATCAAAAAACTAAGTAAAAAAATGTTGTCCCGCTTAGAAGATATTCATTTTTTTACATTGGTTCCACCTACTCAACCCATCACCTGTCATAGCCAGGTGAAACCAGATTTTCCATGAGAATATCCAACACGCTCTAGGGCCACGTGAGTGACTCCTTTGACAAATCATCCAGGGGCACGCACCAGATCCTTTGCAGGATGGCCAATTAGTGGGTCAACATTGAAAATCCAGATATGATCTTTCCAGCCAGCCAGAGCACTGACCAAGATTCGGAGAAATAAATTCTATTTCGGACCAATTGTGACAAAAAAACAATAAACAATGGGAAATCTCTTTGGCAAACTGTTTTTTCCGTTAATCTGCGGGCCATTGTTTGTCCAATAAAAATTCCAACGCAAATATTTGTTGACGGAAGCCGCTGGGGGCCAAGAGCCGGGCGGGCAGCACCTCTCTGGCACCTCCCTGGTTTCCGGATGGGTCTTACGCGCCCTAATTAAATTACGGGGACCAAAAACACGACGGGAACAGCTGCTCTTTTGTTGACAAACGACTCGACATTTGCCATTATCGTTCACATCTTATCGCAGAATATTCCATTAGGCATCGGCAATCTATGGCACGATCGGCAGGTAAGGAGTGCGACGAGGTGATATATTGATACTCATAGCCTGGAAACACTTGACAAAGAATCAGCTGTGGATCATGGGGATTTCTGCCATTCAAGTGCAGCGATCGATCGCTGGATCGCTCGATACCATTAAAAAGTTGAGCGATGACTGCAGCTATCAATTATTTCCATATAATCCTTCATCAATTTGAGTACGGAACCTAACCCCTTGCCATCGCCTGTCTAAATGTCGGGAAATTCTCGTATATTTACACCGTAGCCGTACCACGTACGGGAATTGCAATTGCCTAAGGCTATTATCGAAAGTGTTTACGGGTACGGGTTCTCTAGAACAGAGAACACACAGCAGCAAATGAAATGAAAATCATCGCGTGAGCTTCCGTGGCGGCGTCTCCATTTGGCACATCCGAAAATAAAACTCAAAAGGTTTCATTCAGCTTGGAAAATGGCAAAAGTGACGCAACACCCGGATATTTTTACACCAAACACAAGCAAAATAGATAGCAACAGAAAGGGCAGCCATGTCGACATACTCGTCTGCTGTGTCGTGCCCCACTCATAACCGATAAGAGCTGTTCCGTCCCCCATCCTCTGAGAACGGCCTAGAACCCATTCCCATACATTGTGCCATCCCAGAGACCCTGAGGCGTCCCATAAATAATTTATTCAAAGCCCTTTAAGCTCTGCCCAGCAGGAAGAGGACGAGGATGAGTATGAGTATGGGAGGAGGCAAGGCCATTCATTGTCAAGGCTCTGGGGCAGTAAGTGGGCGCCACACCGCTTGACGCTTCCATTGTTCGTCGAGCTGCCATCCTTGACATTGACTTTGACTGCAGTCGAGCGAGCCCTGGCCCGTCCTTCTCTTTGTTGAGTGCTTATACCACACTGTGTATGCATGCAGATTTGAATGTTCCTTCCATGGGGCATCCAGAATGCAGGTCAGAACGGGCTTTACAATAGCTTACAACGTAATCCCAGATTAAGTTTACCTTCTGCACGTGCCTCACTCATGCCTGGCCTCCTGAATTATAATATTAGAATATTTAATTGACTGTGGAACGCTCTGAAATAAATAAATATACGTACGTACGATTATGTTCTCAGCAAATGTGTTTGGCTACCTGGCAAATATGTATGACTATTTCCCATTTTATAAGTGTGTGGGTTTTTGGGGCCTGTTCCGCTGTCAGGCGGGGTAAACACAAGTCAGATGGTGCCCGATGATGAGGGATTACTCATTCGGCAGAGGCTTCTAGTGGGCCAATTTTGCTGACAGCAGCAAGAAGCCAGCAAGGGAAGCTGTCACTCAGCCACATGTGTGATGATGATGTCGTCAATCATTTACAGGATGTAAAGCTGCTAGATGTTTAATCGTATTATGAATAATTGTTAAGCCGACAATCAAAACGGAAGTAGATACATATGTAAGTATCCTCGATTAGTGATGGATGAGAGACGACCTTGAGCGGGAGGCTGTCGCATTCGCATCCGCTTTGCCAGGGACATGCGCTGCACCTAAGACTTTTATCATTATCGATTTTCGTGCGCAAGGACGTGGTAGTTGTTCTGTCTCTGTGTCTCTGGCATTGGGCTTGCATTAGAAAATTGAACCACAACTAGAGAGAGTAGCGAAAAGATATGCGTGCAAGGAGCCAGTTTTCTTTGAGCCCCACCAACTTGTCCCCAGCTCACCTCCACTCAATTTACATTAGATATTCGCATGCAGATATATTCGTACCCATGTATAGTAGTTCCAGTCCGTGCCTGGTTGTCTGCTGCATTATTGATAACTATTATTGAAAACACGCGCCTGCCGCTCGTGTGATTCCAGCTTAATTGAAAAGACTTTAAGAGAACGGCTGAGGCAACAGCAGTTAGGCAATTGAAAATGTACAATAGCAATCAAATAAGTTATTCATCATTTTGCCCCAGTTACCTATGTATGATGAACAAACAGAGTTTATCAGCTGATTTTCATTAGTCAGAAATCAAAAGAATTGAACTAAATAGATGGAGATGCCTATGGCAAATAGTGGACTCGAACATGTTTCGATTAATGATCAATGAAGCGGGCTCAGGACACCTTTTTCGATCAAATATGATGACGCAATAATCTGTGAGCATTTCCACTTGTTCTCCTTCATAGGAATACAGAATAGAACAACTGAAACTCATTCAACATCATTCTAGTACATTATACATGCCAAAAGAATTATCTGAGTTTTCTGCCATGCCAAAAAAGTGAATTTATTTAATTTCTTTTCTGAAATCAAACATTTATATTTTTAGCAGTAAGCCGTTGACATGCATCATCAAAGGAATAGGTAGACATGCCTACAATATTTTGGGGCATAGTGAAGGTGCGAGATGCAGCTTGTAATGCTTAATCGGACACGAGCAGCGCGACCCTGACATTGAAGTCCGCTTTTAGAAAGCCAACAAAAAGCATTTCATTTGTTGCTCTAGCAGCGAATTCCCCCAATGCTATAAATTTGACTTTTTCGTAGTACTCGTACTCTATGCCAGGCATGCGCCACTCGGCGGGATTCCAATTTATTCGATTTATCTAGATTCGAGATGCTTTGAGAATTTACGGGTTCGCTCTTCTCTTTTGATGTGGGGAAGACGAGACGTCACCGGTTACCGGAACAATGGCCACGAGCCCTCGCCGTGATCAGAGCTGGCGCTCCGATGACCGAATCTTAAAATACGTTTCCGCATTGGTGGGCGGGTCTGGGCGGCTTTAATCGGTTGCCAAGGCGAGCCAACGAATGTTTGTCCCTGACAAAGACAAAAGTTTGCTGCGAACTTTTCAGGGGCAATCGAAGTGGCCACTGACCACGTACCCACATGCCATCAGTGTTCCAAACGGGTCTGCGGCCAGCACTGACCACGCCAAAATGTGTGCCCCGATTCCCAGCTGTTGCCAGCTAGCGGGGATGTGGGCTGTGGGCTGTGGGTGGGTTCAAATATTTTGGGCCGTTGCCAAATCAAAAATGCCGGCAAAATGAAAAATGCCATCGCTGCCTTCATGCCTGCCCCGGCGGAAAGAGTGAAGACCCTTTGGGAATTGCCCGTTTACTCATCGGTTTAGCCCATCAAGTGTGCAACATGTAGCAAGGGTAATCCCTTATTCTATCCTTAACCCAGTTTGTTGGACATCCTTGGAACCGTTCGTTCAGCCAGCACGCGCCACAAAAAAGTCATGACCAAGCGAACGGCATGTCCAATGTCAATGTGGCAGATGCTGAAGACTGCAGTCGAAGAAGAGGCAGATCGTGTGCCCCAAATTAAAGTATATACATACAGTCTGTATATAGTATATAGATGACTTTTTTTTTTTAATGAAATTCTCTTTTTTCGAGCCTTGGTATCGGAAATGAAATGAAATTGCGCCGCAAGCAGAACAAGAAATTCGGTCTCCTGCTATAAATATTGCCTCGGTCCGCAGCCAATCTATAACTGTACGAGTTATATAAATATTTGAATAGCATTAGCATTTGCACGGATTTATGTGTGTGCCTCCGCCTCCCGCCGACTGTGTACATACAAATATGTACAAATGCATGTAAATATGTACACATACTAGCATTTGTCGCTGGGGGATATGTAGATCAAGTTTAATGTAATGCCAAAGATAAGCGAAAGCGCTTACAGAAATACAAAGGGCCAGAAACGACGAAGTGGGAATTCCCTAACCTGCAGAGTTGATCCACAACTACATGAATTCCACAAGCGGTTACTATAGGGCATGTACCCCCCAAAGTTCAATCAAACTCTTTGCACAAATGTGTCGAGAAATAATGTCCAGAGAGACAAAATGCGTTGCGCGACGTGTGAATTGCAGATTCATGATGTTTCCAAAGCAAAACAAACGGAATGGCAACGACTGGGACTGGGAAGAGCAGAA